GGAATGCCGTGGACTCAGCAGCTCAGGGCTGGGGGACCGCTTCCGGCGAACAACACAACCTCGTCCGAATCCTGGTCCGCTTGCAATCCGACCTTTCCCTTAGGCGGCGCTCCAGGCCGCAGCCGCCAAGTTTAGCGCAAGGCATATCGGGATTTGTAGTTTCCGTGGGCACATACCCAGGGCGCTTGCGCACTGGAGAGACGCGCGCCGCCCGACCCCCATCAGGATTCCAGGTCCTTGCGAAGGGCGCTCCAAGCGACAGAGTTCCAACCGAATACGCCTCTCTAGTCCGCCGAGGGTGAGCCGTGTAGGGGAAGAGTCCGCTCTACTTGGGCTGTCGCGGTGCCCTAAAAAGAGGCCGGAACAAGCGCGCCCCCGCTCCGGAAGTGAGAGGCTTCTGCCGCGGTGCATTGTGGGGGGCGTAGTCCTCTTTCCCAGGCGGTCCTTCGCGGCGTCCCTGGGGCCCACTCAGGAGCGCAGGCGGGCGGCTGGGAGGCTGGCTCGGCGCGGGCCGAGGGGAGGCGTATTCTGGGCACGGGGCGCCGGGCCAGGCCGGCCGTGCCGGGCGGCAGTAGTGGGAGGCCGCCCAAGGCCTCGCGCGGTGCCGCCCGTCGAGGGGCGGGCGGCGGCATACAGACCGGGCCGTCGAAAGGCTCAGAAGGCCGGTGGGCCGGGCCGGGCCGCGCGGCGCAGCCATGCCTGGCTTTACGTGCTGCGTGCCAGGCTGCTACAACAACTCGCACCGGGACAAGGCGTTGCACTTCTACACGTTTCCCAAGGACGCTGAGCTGCGGCGCCTTTGGCTCAAGAATGTGTCCCGTGCCGGCGTCAGTGGGTGCTTCTCCACCTTCCAGCCCACCACGGGCCACCGTCTCTGCAGCGTTCACTTCCAGGGCGGCCGCAAAACCTACACGGTGCGGGTCCCCACCATCTTCCCGCTGCGCGGCGTCAACGAGCGCAAAGTAGCACGCAGACCCGCGGGGGCCGCAGCCGCCCGCCGCAGGCAGCAGCAGCAGCAGCAGCAGCAGCAGCAACAGCAGCAGCAGCAACAACAGCAGCAGCAGCAGCAGCAGCAGCAGCAGCCGTCGCCGTCTGCCTCCACTGCCCAGACCGCCCAGCTGCAGCCGAACCTGGTATCTGCTTCTGCGGCTGTGCTTCTCACCCTTCAGGCTGCTGTGGACAGCAGCCAGGCTCCGGGATCCGTGCCTCCGGTGCCCACCACTCCCACGGGAGAAGATGTGAAGCCCATTGACCTGACGGTACAAGTGGAGTTCGCGGCCGCAGAGGGCGCAGCCGCCGCAGCCGCTGCGTCGGAGCGGTACAAGTGGAGTTCGCGGCCGCAGAGGGCGCACCCGCCGCAGCCGCTGCGTCGGAGCTAGAGGCTGCTACAGCAGGGCTGGAGGCCGCCGAGTGCCCCATTGGCCCCCAGTTGGTGGTGGTCGGGGAAGAGGGCTTCCCTGATACTGGCTCCGACCACTCGTACTCGTTGTCGTCAGGCACCACAGAGGAGGAGCTATTGCGCAAGCTGAACGAGCAGCGGGACATCCTGGCGCTGATGGAGGTGAAGATGAAGGAGATGAAGGGCAGCATCCGTCACCTGCGTCTCACCGAGGCCAAACTCCGTGAAGAACTACGCGAGAAGGATCGGCTGCTGGCCATGGCTGTCATCCGCAAGAAGCACGGAATGTGAACGAGTCCCCTTTCGGCCTTCGGGACTCCCAGACTCCTGCCAGCTTAGAGGGACCTGAGGCCGCCGCTGTTGAACTCCCTCATACTCCTGGGGCACTGGTTGGCAGTACTGAGCCTTAGGGCAGCTGGACTCTTTTGCTGGTGACCAAGCACCCTCTCTTGTTTCCTCCTGAAGCAAGGTCCTGAAGTCTGGGATCTCGGACTCTGCACTGGTGACACCAGCAATTATGACTTTGTCTACCCCTCCCTACCTTCACTCCCCAACCCCAAGTTTATGTTGCAGGTTCTGGTTAAGCAGAGGCTTCAGAACCACTGAACTTGAAATTTATCCCCTAGGGATGCAGGCGAGATGCCCAAGGACTGTGGCTTTGGGAAAACAACTAAACCTTGAGTTTGGCCAGCAATCAGAGACAACTCTTCTGTGTGTAGTGATAAGAGATCCAAGTAACATCAGTTCTACTTTTTGTGCTTTTCCTTCCCAGGTGCAGCCTGTGATTCTGATGGGGACTGGCAGATCTGTGCCTCTGCCTCCTAGGACCTCCCTCCCAGGAGGCCATCGACAAGGGGATCTAGGTGACCTGTTGGAGATCCAGCTTACCAGGGACTTAGGTCTATCCTGTTATGTTTGCTACTGGTTACAAATTCTATTTTCTGTACAATTAGTCAGACTAAAGTTTTCACTGTGTTTGTTTGGCAAAACAGATTAAACAGAAAGTAAGGTTTTTATTTGGGTTTCGCCAATTTATTTTTAAAAGGATTCAGCTAAGGGTCCCTGAAACATGGGGAGATGGACTTCCTGATAGGCCTCCACCTTCGCCGCCTTAGGTCTCAAGGACCAGGCTGACCCTGAGAGTAGAGATTCTTCAGTGACTAGGTTTCTCCATAAAGAGTCCCTAAGCACAAGGACCCTGGCCTCATAAGGTCTTTGCAGAGTTCCAGCTCACCTCGAAGAGTTTGGAAACTGCACCAAATGGTCCTGGTTTGTCCATGGGTTAGCTCCCTGTGTCCTTTCAACTGGGAGAAGGAGCAACTGACAACTAAACTGAATTGTGGCAGCCCACTTCTCTGAGGGTTTTGAATTCCTTAAGAATTTTCAGCTGGAGTTGAATTTTGCTCAGTATTATAGCCCTTAGGCCTAGTTTGGTGTCTGGCACACATGGGCATGCAGTTACTTAAATCAGTGAAGACTGTAGCTGGAGCCAGCCATGGACTCTTATACATATACCTTTGACTTTGGTACACTTTCATTGTGAAGGAGGTGGATCCAGAGAGGACTTTAAGCATAGGAGTTGGTATTTGTGACCCCTTGACTTATTTTCTTGGCTGTTAGCATCTTTCTTTAGATTGGATATTGTAGCGGCAAGGTGACATTTTTATCTATAGTTCCAAGTAATTTAGCTCAAAGCTAGCTACAAATGCCTTTAAAGCTAGCCATGTTTAACATGGGTGTTGGGGCACAAATGGACACTTATTGGGCTCCATAAAACATATGACTCCTTTCTCTGTTACTTATGGAAAAAGCCACTTACCTGGGGGCTTTCCCTGTGGTTTCAAACTGGAATGACTCTAAAATTAATGTCTCTCTAATTTCTGCTCTCCTTCTGGCCCCTTGGCACTGACTTGAGAAACAAGTCTGTGGTGGGGAGGAGGGGTGGGAGATAGGTTGTGCAGGTACCTAGATGTGGAAGGGACTGTATCTCTCCCTTCCTAGGGTTAGTTCTGGCTTGTCCTAAGGTGGTGGAAGCACAGCAGTGCCCTTCCAGGCCATGTGGGACTGAAGCCCTTTATGGGTAGGTATTGGATCAGTTGCTCAACGGTCCCCACCCTCCTTCATTAGGAGTGAGGACTTTCACAGCCCCAAGCCATGCTCTTTAGTGTGTCCTTTAGCTCCTGTGTGTTGAAGGGACTTAGACTGTTTCAGCTTTGGCTCACTTGAACCTCTCAGCAGCACTCCCAGGACAGGGTGAGGGCCAGACTGGCTAGGACTCTCTGGTGTCTGGATGTTGTGAGCACACAACCTATCTGGTGTTTTAGCTTCTGGAGGGGAGGACAGCTCAGAGCAAGGGAGGTCCTAGATACACCACAAGCAGGGCAATACAGAGTCTCCCTGACTATTAAGAGAAGAATCTAGTCAGGCAAAGTAATACAGATCTGGGATTTAATTAAACAGAATAGCCTGGTTGTATGAGGCGTTCCCGGGAGGAGCGGTGGGGGTGACAGTGAGGATCTGTGAAGGACCCTTCTGGAAGAACAAGAGAACTGAGAGATCTCTGGTTAGGAGAAGACTTGCTATAAACTTTACCTGGCTTTACCTGATCCCCCTGGCTTAGCTGCAGAGCATTTCCCCAGCAGGCCTGAACTAGAGACAGGCCTTACTTCAAATGTTTGCGTTGCCCGGGAAACGATGAAAAATGGGGGTTGAAAGGAAAGGGCAATGGGTGGGAGGGAGATTATGGACAATTTTATCACTTAAATCACGGGGAAGGTTTGGGCGTGCCAGTTATTACTCTTTTCTCTTAATAAAAATGAAACTCTTAGCTGCCATGCCTGCTGGAAAAAAAACAAAAACCAAACTTGTGAGAATGTCTTGTAGACCCTAACTGCAGAAATCTAAAGAGTAATCTTGTCTCCAGCCCAAGAAAAGCCTCGCCTGCTTGAAACCAGCTTTGGGTCCGACTAGCATCAAGCAGGGCGCAAGAATGTTGGGACAAACAGAAGCTGTGCGTTCCGCCCCGGCTGGCCTTAGAGCAACACTCGAAGGGGCTGCAGGGGCGGCCACAGCACCAAAAGGGAGGGGGCTTTGCGAGCGGAAACAGCTCAGGGGCCCAGGGAGGGGCGGCTAGGCCAGTTTGGGGCCAGGCCGAGCTCCCACGGAGGCGGGGCCAACACCGAACGGCCGCGCAACCAGAGCTGAGCCGGACCAGCTGGGACTTTGCGATAACTGAGCCCTGACCCTCGCCTGGCGCCAAGCTCGGGTGTTCCAGAGGCTTCCGCTAGACCACAATTCTCAGGGGCTCGCCTCGGCGGCCTCCCTCCCTGACTTAGTCTCCCCTCCCGCGCTGCGGGCCGTGTCTGGGCCTCGGCGCATAGGACGTCGGGAACTGTAGTTTTCTCCTGGCGCACCTATGCCAAAAAGGAGAAAGGGGGAACTGCGTTTCCCAGAGTGCAGCGGGGTGGCAAGGGAAGGCAAGGGGGAAGGGACAGTCGGTCGCAGACCGCGCTGGGTTGCCGCCGCCGCTGCCGCCATCGTGCCAGCCCCTCGGGTGAGTGTCGGGGCTAGCGCGCTGGGGCGGGGGCTGGGCCGCAGGAGCCGCGCTGCACCACCTGGGACTCATAAACTGCAGTGGTGGCAAAATTGTAGACATTGCTCTTCCACCAAGAACCGCGGCGGCCCGAAGCCGCGCGGGGCCGGGGCCATGTGTCGCGCGCGGCTCCGCCTCCCGTCGGTCCTCTGAGGCGGCGGCCGGGGGGAACACAGAGACAGCCAGGAACCCATTTCAGGCGTACCGTGCCCGTGGCTGGCATACCGGACCGCGCCGGGGCCGGGCCTTTTTCTCTGTTGTGGACCACCCGGATGGGGCTCTCCGGGCCCCGCCCCGTCTGGCCTAGCCCGGCCAGCCCGAGTCCTGCAAACTCTGCAGGCAGGCTAGCGGGCGGACCCCAGTCCTGCCGCCCGCCTGCCAAGGATCCGGGGATGGGCAGGTGCCACCCGGCCCGCTCCGGAGTCAGCACTGGGTAAGGGCGCCCGCCTGCCGCAGCCCTACCCTCACCCGGTTCTCAACCATAGCTCGGCTAGGATGTAGGTGAACGCTCCCTTGCTTGTCTGCCCGCCGAGAGTGCACGAAACCTATCTCCCACTCTGGATCTCAAATTCTCCTGCATCGAGGCCAGGGTCAGGGAATCTGGGGTAGGGAGGGGGTTCCACGTGGGACTTCATCCCCGGCCAGTCTTGGAGGATCTGGCCTGATGAGATGAGGCGGCTCCGGACTCGTAGGCTCAGTCCCCGCCCTTCTCTCTGTCAGTGATCAGGCCCCAGCCGTGGGTGGGTTGGCCGGCCGCGTTAGTGGAGGGAGGGAAGGGAGGGAAGATGCCAAGGAGGTAAGGCTGAATGTGTGAGCCTCCAACACATCGTTAGATCTCTTCAGCACAGCCTAATCCTCACTTCTGCCCCTCCCAGAGTCAATCTGCCCTTTTCCCACAGAGGAGGATGATTCGATAAGAATGGTAATGGTAAGGTGGGGTTTAATGGAGGGGAAAGTAGAATCCAGGTCTGAGGTCCCTGAGCCTACTGCCAAACAAGAGGCTGGGCTGCAAGCAACATTGGGCATGGGGCATATCTGGGCTGTGGGGCTCAGATTCATGCTCTGTGAGGCCCTTCTGAAGCCTTGGTGGCAGGACTAGAGCTGGAGGCTGCAGAAAGTCAGGCTTCCCTCACCTGCCTGCTCACTTTCCAACTGAGTGACCTATGAACAGGCAGGAAGCTGGTTGGGCCTTGGGAAATTGCCTTTAATCATGGCTCCAAGGACTCCATTGATTTCTGGGAGTAGGGAAGTATCTAGCCATAGAGTAGTCTTCTAGCAGGCTTTGTAAAGGCACTCTTGATTGGTGATAAAATTAAGGGACAAGTCCAGAGAAGACCATGGGATATGGAGAAGAGACAGTTCGTTAAGCCTTGATTCCTCTGACCCCAGTGTAGCTTCTGAGCCACAGTTCTTGCAGGGATAAAGAAGCAGCTAAGTCTCTGCGGACCTGGCCTCAGCAGCATGCAGTTCTTTTAGGAGAGTTGAGTTAGGCCTGTGATGCAGGAAGCCACCATCCTTGGAATTTTTTTTCCTTGAGTATTTCCCCAGGTAATATTTTTCTGGTCATTGAACTCTAGCCTTGGAAGTTTTCCTGCAGTTGAATTGCATTCTCCCTGGTTAAGGAGGACAGGCAAGGAAGGTTCTGTCCAGATCTCGTCACCAGGGCCAGCGTTCTCTCTGGACTCAACCCTCCTAGGCCACAAGCACATGGGAGTCAGGTTCATTCAGCAGACTTAGGAGAGGCCTGGCTTGCCAGTGGAGGTGGGCAAAAAGGAGGGACCACCCACAGGACACAAATAGGATCAGTGTGATTGGATCTCTTAGTGCTATAAGTAGTTGTTCCAAGACCTTGAGATTGTCTGGGTTGGTTCTTTCTAGGACACTGGTGTCAGGTGAATTAGGCTTTATGGCTGTGGATTAGTTCACACATTGCAAAGCCCTAGGTGACTTGAAAACAAGGGTTTTCTTCACGGTCAAAATGCTGCTGTTCCTTGGGAAAAAGGAACAAAGGTTACTTGGGAACAGGAGGAATTCAGGTCCCTCCCTCTCATTCTAATCGTTAAAGAACCCTGAGGTTCTCCAGAATCAGTCTGCACCCTCTATTCATGTAGGGCTGACTTGGGAGGTGGGGCCTGGCATGGGACAGTTAGGATATGGCTGCGTAAGCAAGCGGGCAGGCTGTGAGGTTGCTGGGTTCTCAGCCAGCTCAACTAGGTCCCTTAGTGACATGGAGAGCACGAACCCGCGTCCCCTGCATCAGCAGGCGGACTTTAAACTGCTGCCCCACCAGGGAAGCCCAATGGGCCTCTTTTTTAATTTTCTGTAATTTAATTTAATTTAATTTTTTATACTGCAGGTTCTTATTAGTTATCTGTTTTATACATATTAGTGTATACATGTCAGTCCCCATCTCCCAATTCATCCCACCACCACCCCGCCACTTTCCCCTCTTGGTGTCCATACGTTTGTTCTCTACATCTGTGTCTCTATTTCTGCCCTGCAAACCGGTTCATCTGTACCATTTTTCTAGGTTCCACATGTATGCGTTAATATACGATATTTGTTTTTCTTTTTCTGACTTACTTCACTCTGTATGACAGCCTCTAGGTCCATCCACATCTCTACAAATGACCCAATTTCGTTCCTTTTTATGACTGAGTAATATTCCATTGTATGTATATACTATATCTTCTTTATCCATTTGTCTGTTAATGGGCATTTAGGTTGCTTCCATGGCTTGGCTATTGTAAATAGTGCTGCAGTGAACATTGGGGTGCATGTGTCTTTTTGAATTATGGTTTTCTCTGGGTATATGCCCAGTAGTGGGATTGCTGGGTCATATGGTAATTCTGTTTTTAGTTTTTTAAGGAACCTCCATACTGTTCTCCATAGTGGCTGTATCAATTGACATTCCCACCAACAGTGCAGGAGGGTTCCGATTTCTCCACACCCTCTCCAGCATTTGTTGTTTGTAGATTTTCTTTTTTTTTTAATAAAATTTATTTGTTCTATTTATTTATTTTTGGCTGTGTTGGGTCTTCATCGCTGTGCGTAGGCTTTCTCTAGTTGCAGTGAGTTGGAGCTGTTCTTCGTTGCGGCAGGCGGGCTTTTCATTGCAGTGGCTTCTCTTGTTGTGGAGCACAGGCTCTACGCACGCGGACTTCAGTAGTTGTGGCTCACGGGCTCTAGAGCGTAGGCTCCGTAGTTGTGGTGCACGGGCTTAGTTGCTCTGTGGCATGTGGGATCTTCCCAGACCATAGGTCGAACCTGTGTCCCCTGCGTTGGCAGGCGGATTCTTAGCCACTGCGCCACCAGGCAAGTCCCGTTTGTAGATTTGCTGATAATGCCCATTCTAACTGGTATGAGGTGATACCTCATTGTAGTTTTGATTTACATTTCTCTAATAATTAGTGATGTTGAGCATCTTTTCATGTGCTTCTTGGCCATCTGTATGTCTTTGGAGAAATGTCTATTTAGGTCTTCTGCCCATTTTTAGATTGGGTTGTTTATTTTTTTGATATTGAGCTGCATGGGTTGTTTATATATTTTGGAGATTAATCCTTTGTCCATTGATTTGTTTACAAATATTGTCTCCCATTCTGAGGGCTGTCTTTTCATGTTCTTTGTAGTTTCCTTTGCTTTGCAAAAGCTTTTAAGTTTCATTAGGTCCCATTTATTTATTTTTGTTTTTGTTTCCATTACTCTAGGAGGTGGATCAAAAGAGATCTTGCTGTGATTTATGTCAGAGAGTGTTCTTCCTATGTTTTCCTCTAAGAGTTTTATAGTGTCCAGTCTTATGTTTAGGTCTCGAATCCATATTGAGTTTATTTTTGTGGGTGGTGTTAGGGAGTGTTCTAATTTCATTCTTTTACATGTAGCTGTCCAGTTTTCCCAGCACCACTTATTGAAGAGACTGTCTTTTCTCCATTGTATATCCTTGCCTCCTTTGTCGTAGATTAGTTGACCATAGGTGTGTGGGTTTATCTCTGGGCTTTCTATCCTGTTCCATTGATCTATATTTCTGTTTTTGTGCCAGTGCCATAGTCTTCTTTACTGTAGCTTTGTAGTATAGTCTGAAGTCAGGGAGTCTGATTCCTCCAGCTCCGTTTTTTTCACTCAAGACTGCTTTGGCTATTCGGGGTCTTTTGTGTCTCCATACAAATTTTAAGATTTTTTGTTCTAGTTCTGTAAAAAATGCCACTGGTAATTTGATAGGGTTTGCACTGAATCTGTAGATTGCTTTGGATAGTATAGTCATTTTCACAACATTGATTCTTCCAATCCAAGAACATGGTATATCTCTCCATCTGTTTGTGTTGTCTTTAATTTCTTTCATAACTGTCTTATAGTTTCCTTCATACAGGTCTTTTGTCTCCTTAGGTAGGTTTATTCCTAGGTATTTTATTCTTTTTGTTGCATTGGTAAATGGGAGTGTTTCCTTAATTTCTCTTTCAGATTTTTTCATCATTATTGCATAGGACTGCAAGAGATTTCTGTGCATTAATTTTGTATCCTACAACTTTACCAAATTCATTGATGAGCTCTAATAGTTTCCTGGTGGCATCTTTAGGATTCCCTATGTATAGTATCATGTCATCTGCAAACAGTGACAGTTTTACTTTTTCTTTTCCAATTTGTATTCCTTTCATTTCTTTTTCTTCTCTGACTGCCGTGGCTAGGACTTCCAAAACTATGTTGAATAATAGTGGTGAGAGTGGACATCCTTGTCTTGTTCCTGATCTTAGAGGAAATGCTTTCAGTTTTTCACCATTGAGAATGATGTTTGCTGTGGGTTTGTTGTATATGCTGATGGGCCTCTTTTTAAAGTTATTTTTTTCTGATGGGCCATTTGAGGATGTTTGTGTGTGTGGAGTTGGATTTGAGTTGGCTACCCCCTCCCTAACTTTGAGATTCTCTTGCTTTGACCGTATGTGACAGGAATTCTTGAAGACTCTCCCTGA